CCATTTATCTGTTACTTTAAGCCAACAGTTTCAACTTCTCTGCTTGCTTATTTACTAGTTTTGCAACATGCAGAGGTGTTGTTCTGACTCAAGGTGGTGGCGTGTACTGTTCAGTCAACCTATTGTGGCTACTAGTATATTATTTTGAATATATTTAAGATCGGCATCCACCAATTTAGTCCTGTTTTTGTGATTGCTTTCATCCGTAACACGAATATGTGGATATAGGTTTTAATCCAATCATAATTCCTTTTTTTTCTCAAATATGTTGAGCTGTGCTCCACAATAGTTCCACGTCCGTGTCTACAGAGAGTAGTTTTGGAAATAATGTCGGTAAGTGAAACCTATGATTGTAGCTGTCATCCACTCTTAATTGGGATAATTCATAGTTATTAAAATGAGTGAAATCAAACTTTCTTTTTGTTGAACCTAAAGGACACCATTTTTAGAACCACTCATTTAAAGCTTTGTACTTTAAAGAAAGAAGCCCAATTATCCTCAATTTAAAAAAAAAAAAAAAAAAGCTTTATTTTATTTTCCTATTCCCACAAAATGTTGGAAAGAAGCTCGTCTTTTTCTCACACGACTTGGCTCCTGTCGGCCTCTTGAGTTTCATGCGGATATATTTTTTGCCTGGACACAAAGAGATGGAGGGATTAAGGACATTGAGAAACCTTTTAGAAACCACAGCTCCCCGGAGAGCAGCACGAACCAGGGAGGCTGAGAGACCAGAAAGTGGAGCGGAATAAATAAATAAATAAGCCCGAGGAAGACAATTGGTCCCATAACCTTCTGGTTTTAAGTGAGAGGGCATTCGTTTGCTTTTATTCTGTGACACGCTCAGCTTCTCTCTCACACGCTGCTGCTCTAAAAGGCTTCAGGTCCATTTTATTGACTGAAGTTTTTATTCATGACATACTACTTTACCTCCTTTGGGAAACGTTGCTGTCTCTGCTCTCCACTTTTGTTCATTCTGCCATGTTGATAGTTTCCCCTTGTGAGCTACTTCAGTGACGGTTCGGATGATGTGGGACTCGTACAATGGTGTGAGGCAGGAAGGAGAAAGGAAATCTCATTTGCTGTAAATCTTATTTGGTGCCTTTTCCATCATGACAGTCACTACCCGGCAATATAACATTTTTATGCCTTTTGCACATCAGTTCACAGCTGAGAGATCTTTTGCTCATTACTATTGAGCTATTATTAGGAAATAATGTTTTAATGAGAGTTATTTATCCAACAGCATGACTCAAGCCTTTGAAAATGCAGCAATACAACAAATCCTGTGTTGGAATGGTTTGCATCATCCTCGTTTGACAAAGCTTTTTTCTTTTGTCTTGGATGATATACGTGTTTCTGATGCAAAGATTCAGAGAGGAATTTGTGTGAAGAGAAATCCCTAAAATACACTAAAGAATATGTGAGCAAATATGAGGTTGAATTATGGCTTTGCAAAATGGCTGCAGTTCATGTTTTTCCGATGGCTTTTTTTGGCGCTTTGAGCACCAAAAGCTGAGTGCCATCTCCCGTTATATTCAAGAGAAGACAGACATCTCTACGGCTGATATCTCCAAAACTAGGCAACTCGCAACAAAACGATCTTGATTCATAAATAGCACTACAGGTAAGAAGAAAATATGTAGTTTTGATTTGGGGGTGAACTGTCCCTTTAAATACATTTTTAGTTACTTGTCCTTTACTTCAGTATTTCCATTTTATGCAATTATGTGCTTCTAAACTACATTTAAGAAGCAAGTATTGTACTTTTTACTCTACTATATTTAATTGACAGTTAATAGTTACATTGCATATTCTGATTAATAGAAAATATACCATCAACTACTAAATTATTATATATTAAGTACATAAAGTAGTTAAAATGAGCCTTTACCAGCAGCATCATTGATTACTATAATATTCTGAAATGGACCATTCTGCACATGAGTACTGAAGTATATTCTGATGCTAATACGTATGTGCTTCATCGTAAATATGTAAGAATTAGAATGCAGGACTGCTACTTGTAACAGAGTATTTATACACTGAAGTATTACTACTTTTACATCAGTAAAACATCCAAGTTCTTCTTCCACCCCTGCTCAAAGCGGTTTATCCTGATACAATCAATTATTTTCTTCTCTCTGCCGCCTCTGTTTTATTGCTTTACATGTATTAACGGAGCTCAATCAAACCAAAGCTGTTTTAAGTTATTCCACAGACAGACACACACACACATACTCTCTGAATGTCTCACTCACACTCACAGAGCTCCTCTTGCACAGAGTCAGTAAATATTGCAGCAGTAAGAAAAAAAAAAAAAGGGCAGCGACTTGCTAAAGCCTTGATCCCTCTTACTTCTAACAGGATTTGACCCTTAAGTCCTGGAGCATGACCCTCATCTGCTGCAACACTATCATCCTGTTTAACATACACTCTCACTATTGTCCTCCTGACACACACACACATTTAGAGGCCCTAAAACACACACACACAAGGACACATTTGAGGGCCCCGAAACCATCGCTGCACTCCTCCCCGTCCTCCCACACGTACACACTCACGCATGCACCCACTGTACTGTGTGATGTAACACCGCTTAATTTTACGCATAACATGCAACCTGATGGATCCAGTTAAATGTAAATCGTGGAAAAAGAAGAAAAAGAAAACGCTCCTGGCGCCATGAAGAAAGAAGAAGAGAAATAAGGAGCTGACAAGGGATGGAGGAAGGAGGGAGGAAGATGATGAAGAGGTGGTGGTGTCTGAGGAGGAAGGGGGGCGGGGGGGGAGGTTAACTCACTGCAAGAGGATGATACGATTGAGTGAGTGAGAAAGAGAAGAGAGAGGCAGGGAGAGGGAGGATGCAGAGAGACGAAGGAGAGGAGAGATTGAGCAGGCAGCTAAGCACCAGATTAAACTCCGGGGTCGTCAGCTGTAAAACAAACAGTCCTTTTAGTGGGGATCAGATCCAGACTTAACCCCCCCCCCCCCCCCCTCCCCCCATCCTCCCTTCTCACACACACACACACACACAGTTCGTCACAGAGGAGATAATACCGCTCGCTAAAGGAGAAGGAAAGAAGAAAAAAACAGAGGATGACAATCTCGGTGGAAAGCAAATTCCCATCTACCTAAATTGCCCTTCAGGGAATGTGAAGTTTGATTATGCCCGTGCAGATTCATTATATTTGAGTGTTTTTTTCTTCCCTCCACAGTGTCTGTTGGTGAGAAACCGGGCTAATATCTGACACAGAAACGCCACAGAGGAGAGGTTTTTTTTTCTTTCTTTCTACCTTCTTACAACTCTCGTGTTTATATTACATCTTTACAGTAATATTCCCCTGACAGCGGCGCTCGCCTCAATATTCAGCCTGTTTGTTTAAATCTCTCTCTCTGTCATCTGGCTTTGGATGCTGTCTGGGCGGCTCCATCATGTCCGAAGGCTCAATTTCCAAACTGTCAGCTTTTATGCTCACTGTGAGGCCTCTTCCTTTGGTGTGTGTGTGTGTGTGTGTGTGTGTGTGTGTGTGTGTGTGTGAATCCATGAGCAGCAGTGTCTTTATTCTCTGTGTGTGTTCTACTGCTATCTCTGAGAGCACCAATTTGAGTTTTAGCGGTAGAGATTGGGAGCGTTTGTTGGAGGGTGAGGATACCTTTGCAGGTCTCTCCTCGCCGCTTCAAAGGGCAGTTTGAGGGTTGAAGTGGGGAAACGGACATATCGATCTCCACACAACGTCCTCTCTGGAGCTTTTAACTGTATCACACGGTCTTCATCAGCAGGCCAAGAGTCTGCTAATTGATCTTCATACCATATTTAACCTGTAAACCCAAGGGCCTCCCACAGCATGAAAACATGGCTTTCAAAATCATCATCAGATCTTCATCAGTGACACACAAAGTGCTCTTAATATGTTATAGACGGGCAAAAACATACAAAATCAATGCTACGGTCTATAAAGACTAAAGCTAGAGGCTAGGATATGCACCATATCGATAGCGGTCCTCACAAGTATGCAAATATATAGGCCTGTGTGTGTGTGAGCGTGTGTTTGGTTTCAGGCTTTTTGCATGTGACCCAGGGTCCCCAGGCTGCTAAAAGCCCAACATTCAACTCAATTAGCGGCATACATAATTGATAGCTGTCTGGGAGAGTATTTGTATTTACACTGGAATTAAAAGCCTCCGGTGTCAGCTATCACATCTGAGAGGCAATAAGTGTGTGTGTGTTCGTGTGTGTGTGTGCGTTCTAGGGGGCGAATGTATAGGATGTGTGTATATAATAAGCCTAAATGGATTGCTGCTGGGAGCTTCCCTGTCTGTCTCCTCCTCAGCTGCAGTGAAAACTAAATCACAGATAATCCACCTACAAACACAGCAGCAGCAGCCCTGTGTCTGAGTTAAGTCGTCCACAGTGATCCTGTAACCTGCTTCTCACTGAAACCACGTTGTAGAACATACTTTCACGTTCACGTTATCCGTTTCACCTGTGTTCTGATCGGCACCAAGGCAGTAGGGATGTCAGATAACGGGCCGATACTGACTCAACCAGACGGGGCAGATTATATGTTTAAATACAATATGCATAATATGCTAGAATTATAATGCCTGTTCAAATTGCATGCAGTTAAAAGGTTTACACTTGAATGGGAATTCCTGTTCATTTTGAGGATTTTTCACTAAGCTGCTGGAGCACGATTCATTATTCTAATGATGGATAACATTTCATTTGGTTTTACAAAGTAAAGTGTTGAAGTCAAGCCTGATGTTGCCTTACACATGAAAGATAATCGGTACCCGGTATCACTATCGATCTCTATCGGTATCGGGACTGAAATATTCAGCCAACAACTTTGCCCAAATATCATTTTCTGAAATCTGCCGTCATTTTGATTTAGATTAGAAACTATTTTATCAAAAAATAAGACTATGAACCCTTTCACGGAATTTGGTCGATCACAGAAAAAGTATTGCAAGCTCAGACTTGTGTTCTCCTCATCATGAGCAGCATTATTATTCGTGTTAGTTGCTTTTAAATTGATTCCGTTAACCTGTGATTTGTTTGAGAAAAACGTTTGAATGTAAAATTGCAATATTTTGAGTCCAAACTGTCTTTTGAGTTCAAATTATTCAAGCGCCAGTTTTCGAGCTTCAAATATTAAAACATGTCCCTGAAAACAAAAGTTTTTATGAGCCATTAAATCCTCTTATAGTTTCTTAAGTGTTTCTGCTCAAACTTCAAAGGTGAGTAATAGTATTTTAGAAATATGATTTCTTAAACTTGTTCTCTAGGAGTTTACCCCCAGTGGAGTGAGCCTAACACTTGAGACTCGAGGACCCTGTACCAAAATAAACCCCCCTCCTCAGTATCTTCACCACCATGTAATCACGTCATGTAAAGTGTGTCCCGACCTCTCGCAGCCTCCTGAGCCAGTGTGGCCGAGTATTTAACAGCCCGTTGACCTTCGGCCAAGGTCCCGAGTGAAAAGCAGCTGTGGAGCAAAGTGCTGCTCTGCTGTTGAGTTCAGCCGCACATTTGATTCAGCGAGGAGAAAACTCTCCAGTCACCTTCCCTCCAGTCGATCACAGCCTCGGCTCACTATAATACTCGCCAATCCACAGCGGATTAGAGCACCGTCACCTATTTCCTCCCGGCTCATTTCTGTCTTCTTCTCAGGTCCGACCCTTTAGAATCCCACCTGTGATGACGGTTTACTGTCGCAGCAGTCGACCTCTCTGCTTACAGACAACATCCGATGTGCTGCGGCTGCAACTACGGTTTACAAGTTAGTCTACCCAATCAAAGTTGATGTGGTTTAAATGTGCATGTTTTGTTCAAACAACAGTTAAAGAAAAATCCAAATATTCAATTTACAATATAATAAGACAACATGTTTGCTTGATTAATGACTGAAACAATAGAAATATCTGAGACAGTTGATGGTTTAATGGATTATTCCATTGTAGATTACATTGATGAGCATATATGACAGTAAACTGTGTTTTGGATCAGCTCTGGGAGATTAAAACAGATCATTTCAGACATTTTATACACAAAACAACTAACCACGAAAACAATCAATAATGAAAATAATCAGTTGCAGCCTTAGACATATCGATAATCAAAAGGTGTCGTTGATTGATTCTCTGTTGCTCCACTAATGGATTCATCAACAGATTGATTTGTCCCAATTTCCAAGAAAACTATTTTGGGAGGAATTTTTTTCTGGATTATTTGTTATTTTGAGAGTTTGGTCACTTTTAAATGTTCTATTTTTATCCAGTGTTTTTTTCTCGAAAGGCATCAACAACAATAAGATGTTTTAGTTTTGACCCCCCCTATGTCTGGGAAGGGGAGAGAGAGGGAGGGATGTTGCAGGAGGGAGAGGTGGGGAGGTGTGTGTGTGTGTGTGTGTGTGTGTGTGTGTGTGTGTGTGTGGTTAGGGGTGAGGTGAGATGGAGGGTTTAAGATTCGGTCCATCCATCCTTCAGTCCTCCCAGACTTGAAGCGGGCCGGCAGACAAACCGATCATTGTTATTCATCTAACGAAGCTTTTTCCTCTCCTGCTCCAAACAAGGTAACAGGACCGATTGAATAATTATCGCACGTCCACGGGAGTCTTTAATTAGCTGGCTCTCTGTAAATAAGATGATTGTAAGGGAGAATTCCCGTGAGTGATTAGTTGAATTAGTCGTGTACTTAAAAAAAAAAAAAACAACCCAAAAAACCTCTGACGACCGTTTGTGGTTGACTGGCATGATGATTCTTACTTGTCGTTTTTTAATTGTGGCATTCAGAGTCATTGTGGCTGTCATTAGATTGATGGTGGATTTAGATTTGCATGTTTCGGCACTTAGCTGACGCTCATGTAGAACAAGCGGCAATTTGTAGTGAACCAACAAAACAGCCAATTAATAGGGAAAAACACAAATGTCGGAGTCAACATTTGGATAAAAACATATCATTTTACTAATTTGTTTGCTAATCCTGTTCCCGCATGATTGCATTTTGTTTTAATGAGTTTTTTGTGTTGGCCTTGTGACAGCAGAACCTGTTTTTGTCTAAATGGCGCCTTAAAAGTAGAAATGTCTTTGGCTCAGCCCTCCAGGTTTCCCCGATAATGTCCCCGTGACCCTGCAGTGATCATGGGGGAGTGTGCTGCTGCGGGGAAAAGGGGAATAAAATAAGAGCTAAGGGGGAGACATGTTGTTTTTTGTTGTTGTTGTTGCTCCAAGATAAGAGGATATTACGGCTTATAGGAAGAGGAGACATCATTCAGCGGGAAAAAAGGGTTATGCCAAGTGCTTCTTGAAGAGATTAGTTTTCAGCCTTCCAGGGAAGCTGCTGGGTGCCTCCGCTCTGCCGAATCGGCTGGGAAGGTCATTGTGTGTGTGTGTGTGTGTGTGTGTGTGTGTGTGTGTGTGTGGGTCGAAATCATAGAAAAAGAATATATACTGTAGAAAACAGTATCTGGAGGGAAAGAGATGCTTCTTACACACATTGACGTTACTACCAAAGAGTCTGATGAGCTTTAATCAGCTGTTAAATTAAATGTAATTTCAAGCACATTATGAACTGACAGAGATCTATAAACCCTGTATTTATTATTAATAATGTTGATATTGTGTTAAATGGAGTCGGGAGAGCTGGAGACTTTGCTCTGGTCCTATTTGTCACTAAACTAATATGCGTGAAGATGATTTACTTTCATAAGTGATATGAAGTGCAGAGGTTGCTGTAATCAGTTACATCTCTGCTTTGTTGTGATGGCTAATTTAACACCACATGGCAGCCAATTCATATTTCTTTTATGTTTTGTTTCCCCCCCCCCCCCCCTCTCTGATGATGATCACAGTGATGAAGATGCTGCGTAGTGTATTTTATGGTGTGTTTTTTAGATGCAGTGCAGCTGTAGCTCTTCAGCAGGACACCTTTCATCGCCCTACTGGAGTAGAAGTAAGTGTGCGTTCGTGCTCCTTCGTCTCACTCATTTACATGCGTGGGTTTGCGTGGGTTTGTCATTTGTGCGTTGGGCAGATCTTTCATATCTATGTAAGAGTCGTTATGTGTTCATTCTTTGCAGTGTGCATCAGCCTGAAGCACAGCGGCGTGATGAAAACGTATAAAAGTTTAACTTCCTTGTTGAACTTTTCTTTACTTTGATGTGGCGTCCACTACGGAGGACCAGAGTGGACATTACAGCTGCATTAATGTTGCATTTTACTGCTGCAGATGTTTATGGTGGTGCTAACTTTAACTCCTTTATTCACTGTTGGGTAGTTTAAAAGCTATGCATTATATTTTATAAGATCATCATATGTTTGTAGTGCTGCCGTCCTGTGAGCACCACGTATCTCTAAGAAGTCAACTTCTCATGAGGTTTTTTTAGAGTTTATTTTGCTTAAAGGTCCCGTACTGAGTAAATGCACTTACTTACATCCCACCACTGATTCTAGCGCAGAGATAACCAATGTTGTTAAGCACCAAGTCTTGACACACACTGAATTTCCAAAAATTATTTTATTTATTTGCATGACTTCTAATTCTTGCGCGGCGAAATCTTTCATTTTCTCATGTTTTGTCATCAACATCAAACTAATAGTTATCTGTGACACATTGTTGTACGAACTAATTGACAAATGGACAAAAACTATCAAAGTTGAATATGCACGCCGGAACCTCATCTGATCTGGGACAGTGACATCTGGAGCACACAGTTGTATGAGGAGCTTTTTAATTGGGTGTAGCTGCTATTGTCATTCTGAAGACGCTGTAACACGGGGGGGCTGGTGGTGCTGGTGGTGCAGGGGCTCGTTTCCCAAGTTCTCAGTTTGATGCTCACAATATTAACGCAGACTTCATCGAAATCTGATTTGTGGTTTTCCCAGACGACAACAATTCAACGAACACATTTTCTGGCTGGGCCTCATCGTACCGTATACCTCCTCCTGTCTCTCCAGCAGTGCTCTTCCCAGACTGGGCCTACAAACCAGCCTGGTCGCCCGGCTCCAGACAGGTCCAGCTGTGGCACTTCCTGCTGGAGCTGCTGGGGCGGGGCGAGGGCGGGGCCATCGGCTGGGGAGGGGAGTGGGGCGAGTTCGTCATCCGGGACCCCGAGAGGCTGGCCAGGCTGTGGGGGGAGAGGAAGGGCAAACCACACATGAACTACGACAAGCTCAGCCGGGCGCTGAGGTGACACACACACACACACACACACACACACACACACACACACACAGTTCTTTAACTGTGTGTAATCCTCCCTCTCAGTGCAGCTTCTCCCTCAGGCTGATGCTGGAAATAAAACGTTCTCCTAGCCAACATATGTTGTCAAATTAAAATTTAAACTTCAAAATGCACACAGATGTTACACATGCCATTTGGGAAGCACTTTCATCTAAAGTGCCATATGAGGGCATACCATACACACTTACAGCCTGGCATGAACACACACACACACACACACACACACACACACACACACGTCCAGTTGAAAACAGAGTGTAGTCTGACACAGGAAACATTTTACTTCCAGATACTACTACAACAAACGCATCCTGCACAAGACCAAAGGGAAGAGATTCACCTACAAGTTCAACTTCAGCAAACTGATCCTGGTCAACTATCCGGGATACCCACCTCCACCTGTACCTCCAGCACCACCACCACCACCCAGCCATCAGGTCATCACCACATCTCTACATCTCATATCACAACTTAAAGGACTCCGATGTTTGGAAATCTGGCTTCTAGGTTATATTATGTTTCACATAAAAGGATTAATAATACAATGATTAATAAATTGTCTCTGGGAGATACCTGTAGTTTTGTTTCTCATCACAAAAGCAACGGGCCGACTCTGATAGAAACAATTACTTCCACTTTATAATTTAATATAAAACTGGCTGACTTAAACAGAAATCATTTCTGAAACTTTGCCATGTAATTGAAAGCTGTCATTGTGTTAAAGTTATATCATGTTCACAGGCAGGTTAGCTTCCGTCCTTTAGAAAGCGCCGTCATTTATGATTGAAGTAGAAGTGCTGTATAAGTGCAGTCTATTTAAGGATTCACCATTAGCTTCTGTGAATAAAACTCTTAATATCATGCATTGTAATCAAGTTTTTTGTTTTTTTTTAATATTTCAATTTTAAATGAGGCCACCAGTGTGCAAAACATCAGTAACACCTTCCTGCTATTAAGTTTATTACTGTTTTAATCATCTGAAGTGCTCGTTTAAGGTTTCTGCTCTCAGCTGCATCAGCTTTGATCTGCTGTATATTTAATACGTCGGTAACAGCTCCCCGGTGCTCCTAATGTGTTGTGCACACCGTATCAGACGTAGATTGCATTGAAAGGGTCCACGTTCCCATTTCAACCATCTCTCCATCTCATCCTCCATCCGTCCGTCTTGCAGCTGTTGCAGAGCGGCCCCCTCCCCTTCCATCTCCCCCCCGCCGAGAGTGGTCTTCCTCTGTGTGGAGGAGCAGGCGGAGGTAAGAAGCGCACCCGTCAGAGACTCGCCTGCACAGCGGGAACATCTCGCAGCGAGTCGGTTACAAGTGGCGAAGCCATTCGTTCTGTTTTTATTGTCCCCGTGATTATTCAGCCTGAAGGCTGAAGGCTGAAGGCTGAAGGCAAGCAAAACAACTGAATTTAAACACATAAAATGTTATAACAAATATACTAATTACAATATGATGAAAACAATAAAACAGCCAATAAAATGTATAAAAGTAACACGAATAAAATGGGAAAACTAGATTATATTGACGAGATCCAAATAGATTAGAAATATGCAGTTTAATTACTACTACAACTACTACTATTAATAATTATAATAGTGTATTTATTTATTTATATATATATAAACCAGTTATTGCACAATGCTTTACAAAGCAAAAGATAAAACACAAAGCCATACAATCTGTGGAACCGATGGGATCTATTCATAAATACAAGCTGAACTGTAGGTTTTTATTTAGCAAACGTCACTCAAACACAGAATACATTGTGTATTTCCTGGGGACTATTTTCAGCCGTGGATTGATTCACATTTGGAGCTGTAGTGAGTATTTATAGCAGCACGATGTGTTTGAGTTCCTGCCAACGAAGGAGCAAGTCCCTCGGTGCAACAGTTTGGCTCACTGATGTGTTTTTGATGTTGTTTGGACAACAATGGAAGAAGATACACAGACAGTAGTCAGGAGCAATCCAATCCTTTAGACCTCTTTGTTAAGTATTCAACAGAACCTGCAGTATTAACTGGATATCAGAACACTTTCATGTAGCTTTGCCTTTGAAATATCACTTTTCCATCCTCCTCACACTCGGCTTGTCGTCACCATGATTCACTCTTAAATGTGCTGCAGTTTCTTTTAGTTCAAGTCACGAGGAAATTGCTTTTTCTCCTGCGGCTCACTGGTGTATATATTTTTTTTTATTTCGAGGTGAAACGAAATGCAGTTCAGTCTTGTCCTTGAAGACAAATATTGGGTTTTTCAAGATGAATAAAGCATCTGGAGTCTAACTGTGGTATCTTTCGGGAGTCGACACCAAAAGAAATGCTCCTCCACTGTGAACATTGTAGTACTGCAGGTGTTTGTTATTTACAGGGTCGCTGGTTGGATTTAACTACTTCAAATGTGCAGCTTTAAATGAAATAAAAGCAACAGAATTTCAATATAAAATACATCAAATTAGATTTTCTTTGACAAAAACATCTTAACTCAAAGTCCCCTTACTTGTGCTTTCAACCGTATTTCACAGTCTTCCTCTGAGTTTGTTCAGCTGCTCTGAAGACGTTTGAAGCTCCGAGGTCAAGAATGAACTTTCACACTTTATTTTATTTTTCTTTCACAACTTTTGCCATAAAAATGTCAAATGTGTAAGTTATATTGTGCAGCGTCGGCTAACAAGGTGAAAAAGGTCGTTTTAATTTAGCTGTGAGTGACATCAACGTGATTTAAGGCCCCGTTTAATGCTTCAAGTTCATTCTGGAAAACAGATTTGTTTAATGAATGTTTGAACGTTGATGAATTAATACGTATCGGAGCTCTTGGTTGGTTCTTTTTCACACGTGAAACACATGACGACAGATTATTTTGGACTCTGATTGATGTGACTCTCTCTCTCTCTGTTTCCTCACAGCGGTCCATGTGCCTCACCCCTTCTTGCTCCCGTGCTGCCTCCCTAAGCTCCTCCCGACGCCCCGGGCTCTCCACGGTCACTTCCCCTTCATCTACGGCCCTGCACGTCAGGGGGCCAACCTGGGGGACTCCGTCCTCCCACCCATCCCCTTGGCCCTCCACGTGAGCGCCAGCGGCTGGCCACACAAGAGCCCCGCGGGGTGGGATCTGAACCACATCAGTCGAAACATGTTCGGGGGAGTGAAACAGACTGAAATTCACGAAGAGGAGAGGAAAGCGGGAGATTTTGCACAGACGGGGGAAAGGGAGTGAGGAAGAGGAACAAACTACAACAGATGGACTGCTTTGCCTCCTCAAATATCTCAAATACACACTTCTTTTGTCCGTGTTTTTAGCTCATTGTACTTTAGTTTGTTATTCATTTTATTTATTAAGTTAGGCCATGATGTGTGTGTTTATGTTTTTCATAGAAATACTGAGGAAGCTACTTTTTCTTCTGTCAGCACTTCAAGCCACTGTCAGGGAATTGCACTTGTAAACAATTAACAACATGGTACTTGCATTTGAGTAAATAAAGCAGTACACTTAACTTCAATTATTCAGCAGCTTTTCCTGCATTCTCCCTCTGACTCCACGGAAGTAACAGGAGCTGCATGAATGATGCATTCAAACAGACGATGTGACATTTTCATGAAAGGAGCTTTTCATGTCTTCTTTGCAGCATCAGGACCAGCCAGCGGTGTCTGCGGGTACCACTCCGACACAGCAGGGGGCAGTAGCGTCTTTTGGACTCCCACAAACATTTTTTTCCCGGGAGAGAGTCGGAGCAGAGATGTCTCAGAGAGTAAGATGTGGCACTCTGTAGATATTTTCCAGGTACACTAAATCCAAATCAGAATGCTGTGAAAACTGCAAGATACACATCAAACGTATTATTACATTCTCCATGTTTTACTACTTTAAGGGAACCATGTTCATTTTGTTGATTTTCTTTTTGTTAAATGTGTTATTTCAATTGTATTTAAAGAGACAAACATGTTAATCTATGGTGTTTTTTTGGCACACGCATTCATAATATCAGTATGTTCTATTTTAATATTGCAAACTGTATCAAATAAAAACCAAATATAATAACCTTCCTTCCTGTATTGGTGAATTACAATGTTGTACTGTATTTCACACTGTTCTTCATGTGTACAATATCTTAACTTTTACAAACGGACCAGATTTTATCGATCGCGTGTCAGCTCTTCTTCTCTTGACGATCTTTGGTTAAGATTTCATTTTTCGCGCCGAATATTCTTTTTTGGTGTCATTCTGCAGCGCGGGAGTTTGTGTTTTTGTGTGTGGATGTTGGACCCTGTGCAGTGTTTTAACTAATAACGTTATTAATACTATCTGAGGGGAAGAGTTTAACGACAACATGCAGCGAAGCATCGCGTGAGTCCAAACTTTAGCGTTGAGAACGGTTTATATTTATCTTACTTTGAGGATTAGCGATAGTTTGGAGGCTGTTTGACTCTGTATTAGCGTTGAATAACCTACCAACGTCAGCTAGTTAAGTGTATTGTGATAATCAGTTAGGGTCAAAGGGCCTAAATGAGTGTAACGTTAGCTAAGTTCTAGTGTTAACTGCACTGCCTGTAAGTTAGCATTAGCATAAACTGTCTGTAACGTCTGTTTTTGGGTAAGACACGTCAAACTCTTGTCATAACACGTTAAATGTAGCGCGTGAGCTAACGGTAAACAATAACCGTTAGCTTTTTAGTTTTGTTATGGAAGCACCACAACATTAGCTAACGTTACATGAGGCTAGCTAACTTACGCAATTAACTACGCACTTAACGTTGACTCGTTTATTCGTTAACTGACGTTAACAACGCACGCGCACAACGCACACGCACATTGATTCATTAACTGACGTTAACCGTTTAACTAGCAGCCCTCTAACCTAAGTTAACCCCAACTGTCATCGGCAAAACATATACATAACAGTTACATATTGTTTTAATGACTGTTACTCTATTTTATTTAACTCTGATGGTAATCATGTCCTCATCCTCTTCCTCTTCCTCATCATCCTCGTCCTCGTACATCAGATCGTTCTTTCAGCCCAAGAGCAACAAAGAGATTCAGAAGAAAGCCACAGATGAACGTGTGAAGAAGTAAGATTTGTTTATTTTAAATCACGCAGAATGGGAGTTTATTGTTGGTTTACTACATCTGATGGAGAGATGTAACACAAGTTCAGAGGAATGAAGCAGAAGTTTGAGGGACTTTACTTGATGTATTTATATTTATTGATGCTTTATAGCTCTGCTCCGCTACATCTCACAGACAAATATTGAGCTTTTTGCTGCACGACTCTCAAACATTTATAGCTTTAGCTCCTTTTAGACTACAGTTTAACACCCAACCCAATGTAACATGCACATTAATGCAGTACTAATATTTATACAAAAACATCACATACTGTATTATACCGAACCGGAGTTTTTAAATATTTGTATATACGTGCGTTGGGTAGGTTTTCTGTTTTCTATTTTGGTATTTGGATATTCGTTTTGTTTGTTTTTCGAACCCATCGGTGTAACAATCATGCTTAAAACACACAAAACCTTTTGAAAAATGCTTCTTATTCTATAATACATATTTAAACAACAATACTGTAACGTAACGGACTCCTTAGAAATGAATAGCTTCTCTGACGGTGAATACTACTTTAAAAACCTTAGCTCAGACATCAGTAAACATGCTTTGTCATGTTGAAACTCCTCTGACAGCTTGGATATGGGCAATTATCTTTGAATCACTCTGAATTATGAATAAAAGTTTGTGTTATCAAAAGAGATGACAACTTGTGTTTCTCATCTCTGCTTAGCTTTGATGATAGTGTTCATTATCGCCACAGTATCATCTTTAGAGTGTCTGAAAAGCCTCTTTAACACTCTTGTCTTCATGTAAAGATCCTTTCATCATCGCTTTGACCTCTCTTTTATAACGCTCGCCTTGATTTTATACGTCTCGGTTGTATTTTCCTGTCTAGAATGCTTAATGCAGCCTTCCCTGAGACTGTGCTTTGTAAAGGTACCGTATGAAAGAGGCTCATGGCTTTTATTTATTTGAATTGCGCCGTGTCTCTGTGCTCGTCTCCAGACCCGTCAAAAGCCCTCTCAAGGTGCAGAATGGCGTCCGGGAAGCAGACTCGCCCGTCAGGAAGGTTTCCAAACGCAGCCGACAGATCCTGGACAGCGACGAGGAGGACGAGGAGGAGGAGGAGGCGCCGGTTGTTGAAGAGAAAACCGCCGCCGCCGCCAAGGGACAAGGAGACAAAGAAGCTCCTGATAAAAGAGAAAAGGTAAAAGACACTTAAACCATCCTAATTCAGTTTATTTCTAATCACAAAATTCAACAAACCAACTGGATTTATTTTGACAGTTTGACGGGACGTCATCGTGTTAACGAACAAAGTAAATATTTATTAAATAAAGTCTGATATGATTCTAAAAGGTGATTTAAAACGACGCTACTGGACTCCTTTGTACACTGTAGGCGCTATTGAAACGCTGTGGAGCCGTCACATGTTCTAAACCCACACAAGCTGAACGTAATGACCGTCGGAGCTCCTGTCGGCGTATCGCTGTTTGTTGTTTTATTCAACGGTGGCCAAAGCGCCGGTGCACAAAGACGGTAATTGTGCGGTGAATCACCACGTTGAATGCATTTTCATCAATAAGCCGCATGATGGGGGAAAAAAAGAGCTGATTATCGGCTTTGGCTGTCGCTCGACCACCTGCTGTTTGATGAACACTTCTCTGAACGGCCCCGTTCATCCTCTCTCTGTGATGTGTCAGCAGTTATTCATCGATCGTGACGGCAGCGTGACCCTCACCTCACTTTCACACGGCCGCAACCATTGATTATTTGTTGTGACACGGTGTTGATAATACATGTGCTGGTGGCCACAGAGATAAATGTAGAGCAGCAGCTAATGAGTGTTTTTACTGGTGATTAATCTTTTGTTTTTGTTTAATTGATGGTCTGTGAGATGTGAAACAAAAGGCCTTCGTGGTGACAGAGTTCTCCAGGTCGGGTCTCGCACACTAGGACTAGAGGAGACTTGAAAGACCTGATGTCAGGCTTTCAGATCCAAGCAGAGAGAATGTAACCGACTTATCTAACGGATGAAATCCCGACATTAGAGGCCCGATTTCTGGCTCTACTTCGCCCGTTTTCAAGGTTTATGGAGAAAGGAAACATTTGACACAACCTTTTATCCTGCCGTACCTCAGCCTGACTCGCTAGTTGTCGGAGGAAAACAACGGTGAGGCTGTAAATCTCACCGTTTTTATTTCAGTATTGATCAGGTTTGTATTCGTACCGCTACCACACAGAGAACTGCATTTATTCATCAAATACTTTAAACTCTATTTCAACTTACTTGCTTCTCTAAAGTTTTTTATTTTCTCAACCATAGCATGTAATGTTCAGGGGAGAAGTGTCCTAGAGTAGTTTATTGGTTATTCTGTGAAAATAAACACATTAATGATCAGCATCACTGCAGATTATAACAGATTTGTGTTGATTTTCTCCTTAACACAAACATGTGGATATGTGTTTAATCTTTAATGCATCTCCTGAAACTGCAGAAGTATCCCCTGATGCAGAAGTACCCCCTGATGTAGAAGTAGATAGATAGATGGATACTTTATTCATCCCCAGGGGGAAATTTGTTAAGTAAGAACCCCCCCGATGTAGAAAAACCGCCCCGGTGTAGTAGAAGTACCCCCCCTGGTGTAGTAGAAGTATCCCCCTGGTGTAGTAGAAGTACCCCCCCTAGTGTAGTAGAAGTACTCCCCCTGGTGTAGTAGAAGTACTCCCCCTGGTGTAGTAGAAGTACTCCCCCTGGTGTAGTAGAAGTACCCCCCCTGGTGTAGTAGAAGTACCCCTGGTTGGGAAAGACTAAAGAACTTAAATGTGAGACCTGGCAACACGTTTCTGCTCGTGACCTTCATCCTCATCAGGGAGGCTGGAGTTAAGCACACACACTACATGTACGATACCCCCCCTGTTGCAGTGCTGGGGGGGACTGCATAGTTATTGATGGTTTATAAGGGATTGTGCAGATTTCAGTTCATGCAAGAACAACCCCACAACGATGATTAATTGGGACTTTGGAGCCGTTTGGTGGGGCTCAACACTGACTTTTAGCAGCTCTCCTCCTCCTCAGCCCTCTCAACAACGCGCTCCATTGAACAACAAACTAGTTTCCTCACTGGTGGAGGTGCGTGTCATTCAGGGTCTGCAGTATTTCCTTTCCAATGCTTACTGAGACACTTCATCCATTTTTGCTTTCAGCTGCTCCATGTTGACAGGCCATTGTTTGATAATCCAATGATTCTTCTTCTTTTTACCCGTTTACAACCGATTTAAAAAGTGAATACTCGTGGTGCCGTGGCACACAAAGCCACATGCGTGATACAAACTATCCACAGTGATCCAGATCACGATGTTTTGGAGAACTGTTACTGTCCGTTCCTGGGTTTTCGATGTCGGCTGTTGATGCAAATAATCAAGATGTTGATGTAATTTAGATAAAAGAAATCGGAACCACGATGTGCAGTAACTCTGTTCGTTCCAGCCTCTCGTCACAATGATCACCAAAACCAACTCTGCTCGTCTCTTTCAGAAGGACACCATCTTTAAGGTCGTCCCCACCCCTCTGTCTCCTCCACCGGCCCCCTCCACCCCTCTGTCTCCTCCACCGGCCCCCTCCACCCCTGTGACTCCCGCCACCCCTGTGACTCCCGCTACCCCGGCGTCTTCTGCTTCACCCGGGACTCCGAACTCCATCTCCCCCTCTGGGATCGTCAGACGCAAGACCGGTCAGTATCTGATCACATTTCATCCTTTCTTTCTTTAGTCCTGCCACTAAATCTGTGGTTCTTAACTTTTTTTTCTTCTCAAAATTGCAGCATTTTGGATTTTTGACACCAGCTCACGATTGATAGTCTTTCTGCCTCGGGCTATTTTACTTGATTATACTTTATTAGCAGGAGCCTAATGTCTCCAAATACTCATTAGTTCACAATGAGGGGAAAAAAACAAACAAGACATTTATCACAAACTGAGTGAAAAACTCTAAATACTCTTTCCTCCCTCTGGGTTCCTTATCTGTCTCAACCTTTTACACTGACTCTCACTGTGCTGCATTATTTCTCATTATTCATCTGCTGAACCAGGAACACACTCCTCAAGCCTCCATCATTACTTTGAGAAAGAACGTAAGACGTTGTCATTATGCAGTGTCTATACGTTTAAAAGAGGGCTCATACATGTTCATTATCTGTGAATTTTAAATGAGATGCATGCGTTACTTTCTGCATTTACCATCAAATAGAATGCCCGAGTGGTTTTAAGTGGCGTTTTGTACTTTTCATGTCACACCAGAAATGTGTGACTTTGAATGGAATGCTTAAGCTGCTTAGAGCTGCACAGATGTCGAGTATCGCAGCTTTGTTTTCATTTTGGGGAGCACCTCCTTTACTTCCTCACTTTGTTTCCTTCATCCTCCTTCTTGCAGCAGGAAAGCGGCTCCTTTTCTTCTCATCCTCCCGTTCGCTCTCTCTCTCATGTTTGTTGACTGCAGTGTTTTGCTTTCAGCAGCGGTGCCACCATCGCATTAATGTGACTGTAATTTGACCCGAAATTGCATTCTTAATGTCCTGGGTTAATGTAGTCGTTATAATATCTAGAAGAAAAGGCATCAGCAGTGCTACCTGTGCTAGAACCCTAACGAGGACCAAAACAGAGGCTGATGTGGAACCAAAACTAAATTTACCCTCCAGCACCACTGCTGCATAACATTACAGAGGAAATTACACTGAAACCCTAAGCTGCTGCGCTGCATAATATCTTTCAGGATGGAATTAGTGTTTTCATTAGCAAAGTACGTATCTGTGATTCTTTTCTCTTTTTATTTTTTCTTCGTTGCCCTACATCTGCAGTTAGAGAGCCGACTCTCCACAGCCTCCTTCTGTTTGATCATGGCAGGATTTCAGTTGGGATGCTTCTCAATTTCTTTTTTCCTTTTTTAATTTAATGCCCGCCCTGACGTGCGCAGCCAGGAAGATGTTCCCCAAGAGGAAGCTCGATGAGAGCCGGAAAGACGAGGCCGAGGAAGCGCCGGGTCAGCAAAACAAGCGATCCCGCGTGGAGAGCGGCGCAGGTACGCCTTCACCTCTACGAGTCTGATAACGGCGCACAGGTCCTTCACAGGTCTGGATGAGAATGTAAAATTAGAGAGTTTCTGGGATGATCGGAGTTGGGAAGTTTGGAAGCACTTTAATTCAATTTCCAAATAGAAATAAAAGCAAAACAACACGAGTGATAAAATCCAATTTTGAGTTCTAGCTACAGAATAAGTCTCCCATTGACATCAAGCCTCTTTGCCTGATTAGTCTTATTTACAGAAAGTGATGAGTGTGCTAAATCAGGCTGCAACTTCTTTTTTTATTCAGTGAAAGAGTTTTGGCCCAGTCAGCACCTCTAAACCTGGTGGGTTGTTTCTTAAAGCAGCATGTGTACCTGCAGACAGGAAAATGGCCTCGCTCTCATTTTTCCTTTTTCTTTTTAATTGGCTGGTTAAGTACCAAAAAGTGACAGTTGGATTCAGCCGTCACTTTAACCTGTGGAGGAGGAAATTAAAGTTTCATGTCTCATGAGCCCGGCTTTGTCTGCTGACACTCGCTGCTGCAGGTTTGTCAATAGTCATTTTCTCTTCCCGGACTCTTGGGTGAAGATGGAAACCTTAAAAATATAACCTGCGGCATTCATTGAAGAAGGCTGTTATGTTGAAAGCCATCTTCAAACATGGTCTCACAGAGGAAAAATAAAAAAGTGGGCTCTCTGTAAACCTGCTGGCATTTATCTCTTCAATGACTCCTCTCTCTCTCTGTCTCCCCCTGTGTAGGAAACACCGATGAACCCATGGAGGAGGGAGTGAAGGAAGAAAGGGTTGTAAAGGCAGTGACTGAGGCTAACAACCCAGATGAAGAGGTGGTGGAGAAGAAGAAGAACAAAGGAGGAGAGGAGGAGGACGAGGAGGAGGAAGAGGAGGAGAGGGTGAAGAGAAATAGCTCTGATGGGAAAGTAAAGAAAGCTGAGGGGGCGGAAAAGAAAAATGAAGCAAGGGAGAAGACGGATGATGAGAAAGAGCCCGCCGCTGCCAAAAAGAAGAAGAAGAAGAAGGTGGAGGAGGAGGAGGTGGTTGAAAAGGACACGACAGAGGGAGAAGAGAGCCCAAAAAGTCAAACGGCGAGAAAGCGGAAAGAACCAAAAGAGCAGAAAGATAAGGAGCCACTCAAGAAAGCTCCCATCAGCAGTTTCTTTGGTGAGGAGCTATTTGCATAGCTCTGTGCTTGCACAAAAAAAAAAAAAATAAGTGTCTGTAAATGTGCTTTTATCAGTTAGGAAAGACGGCAAAAATATTTCTCTGCCCCAACTCCTGCTCCTCCCTCACCTTTCACTCATTCTTCTTTTTAATTCAACAGCCCCAAGAAAAGCTGCCGTGAAGACGGAGAAGCCAGAGAAGAGCGAAGGGGAGAAGAAGACGACTAGCGGCGAGAGGAAGACTTCAGAGGAGGACGCCAAAGACACCAAAGGGTGAGGCCCAGTGCAACAGGAAGTTACAGCAAAGCTCAGGACAGACATCTCACCCGCTAGTAGGTGTTAAAGTTTAAGTCACCATTATCATGGCCAAAATAATTGACGTCAACCTGATCGACTTTGCACACTTCACATGTAATTCAAGCAAGATGGCCGCCTACACAAAGAAAGGGAGAGAAAGGCAGCGTTACAATAAAGGAGATTATGGAGCAAGGCTGTTTTAGTTTGTTTCTGTTGGGACCAGGTATAAGGTCTCAGAAGTACGTAGCTACATAAACATAGAAACTACATAGCTGCAGTACCGTATGAACGGCCACGATGTTTCATCTTCACTACTGCATAGAGCCACCTCCTTGAATGTCGAGTCGGTTAAATGTCTCGGGAATTCTCCTTTTCACGGTAGTGATCATCTCTGTTGTATCTAAAAAGCTTAACATTAGGGGAGAGCAGTACACGTCTGTACCTGGACTTTCAAATCCCGTCTTCATGGAGCTAAACACACACGAAGACGAGAGAGAACGTGAGATCTAGGTCACTCTCACTCAGTTCATACCGTCTGTGGCTACAAACTGCGACTCGCTGAATCTCTGGATGAGCCGCCAGCAGCCGAGCCACTCAAGGTCTTTTCTACAGCGCTGGTCCAATACCGTCTACTCAGCGTATTTTAGAACTCTTTCTTCCTGTGGGTCAGCGTTTGGTTTCTTCAAAGAATATTTTAAATGTAATTCCCATGTTGGCTGTGATGAAAAGAGGTGTGCTGAGGTCCATGTTGCTCATCAGTACATTTCACGCTGGACTCAAAACAGCAGCTGGTACAACTGTGAACGAATCACATTTCATTTACATTAGGGGGCAGGCTGCTCCTCCCACAACACATGCACGTCTTAGGGGGCAGGCTGCTCCTCCCACAACACATGCACGTCTGGACCTCATTTTGACTCTTATTTGGAGACAATAAACACGTCCGTTTCTTTAAGACATGTTCCCTTACGTTGCCAATAGAGGGAAAATTGGTCGAATCATGTTTTGAGCAGATTTTTTTATTCATTTCATTTTAGATCTAATCAGATTCATTTAGTTTCAGTTTACTAACAATATTTTCCACTGCTTATCATTTCTTAACTTTACGATAATAACCCTGCTATGGAGCTGTCAGGTGTCTGAACAGTGTCGTCTGTCTGTTTTGCAGCAAAGTTCATTTCTATTTAAACCACAGTCTCAGTCAAGACTGAAATCATACTTGAATTATAAGAAGCTCCAGAAGTTCCTAACGGATCTGGAGACGGACGCATGTGAGAAGTCATCGTACGGTCAATTAGGCGTCGTGTCTCCTCGTTAAAGGACGGCCCGTCCAGTGGAAACTCAGCCTGATTCTTAAAATAGCTGAACCACTTCACCAATTCAGTTTGTGTCAATATTTATAATCAGGGCGTGTCAGCAGCGTATCAATAGATTTCTGTTAAAGTTAAGGATCATGGGAAGGCCTTCTGAACACTGATCAGGCAGAACAAGTGAAATACTCGTCTCTCTGTGTGTAGGAAGGTTTTGTAGCCTCAGCTGAGGTATTATTTTGTATCTCTACATTATCAGTCTTTTCTTTCTTACACAAAGCAGTTCTTCTGTTAAATAAACCAGCAGCAGAAGCGGTGTATTACTGCTTTGTCACTTTCAGGTCACGTTAACTATTCCAGCCACCGACTATTTTTAGCTCCAGAAGAGAGGAAATGCATTTTTCATCCGCCTGTTTATTTTTTTATCGCTGGCTCGTGTGCGACAGGGACGGGAGTGAGAGGAACGCCACACAAAGGACGGTTCACAGCTCCAGCTCCTCTTCTTGTAACGATATTTTGTTCAACCTCGTGTGAGGAAAAGAAACACTAAACACATCTTGTTAGAACTGCGGTGAACATTTTTTTTTTTTTACAATCCCAATCAGTGTTTTTTTAATAACATTGCTGCTGTTGGAAATGCTTTGTTTTAATAAGCACTGTTTTCTTTAACTGTAACCAGTGAAGCTTTCTCTTCAAACCCTCACATTTCAGAGTGCCTCATTGTTATGAGCGTGCGTGACTCTCTTTCTCAAAAGAGATCTGAGTTTGCTTCAGTGACTAACAGCTGTCGCCGTCGCTCAGTCACACTCTTTAATTTGCTTCGTTTTCTTTGTTGTTCTTCCCTCAGCGAGTCAAACTCGGGAGAGACGGACTACAACCCGTCCAGGGCCAACTACCACCCTGTGGACCACGCCTGCTGGAAGCAGGGCCAAAAGTAAGTCCAGCTCCATCCTTACCCGGCCTACTCGCCTCACAAATGGGATCCCAAAGTCGTGAATGTGTTTCGACCAACGTATGGTTCCCAGCGGCTGTGATAGTTTACAAAGTCGTGGGCTTTGATTTGGAATGTCGAAGAGATGCATTTCTTGCGTTGACCACTGGGGGGCGAACCGCACGGAATAACCGATGAAAACAACTGTGAGGCAACCAGCCTGGTTTATTCTGGGCAACCGTCCAGAGTCGAACATTAAAGAACTCTGAGGAAATTACATTTTCACGCCAGGGAAGTGCTCTGACTTTGGTGATGGGGGGAAAAAAAAAAATCATGAACTTTTTACATCATGTCGAGCTGGTTAGACTCCGGTCAGCTGCTGCGTACGGTGCCGTGCTTCGTGTTTCTCCTTTTGAAGCTACATGTCGGTCACACACTTTTAAAACATTGTGTCTCTCAGGTTTCCTCATGTAACCAAAAGCAAAAGCCGTCTGCTTCAGATTACATTTAAACGTCATGTTCGTCTCCGCAAAGAACTACAGAAAATGTCTCTTTTGAGACGTGTTTTCTAAAAACTACTCTCCCGTTTGTCCCCCGAACATCGTTTTTCCCTCCATGGCAGCTCTGACCCTCGTCCTCCCCGCTGTTGCTTGTAACGGGGTTTTGATAACCCTCAATCAAAGCTCATTCTACTGTTGCACTAATTGCGAGCGGCTCCGAACAGCTGAGCCCGTTAAACGCTGTAGAAAGCTTCTCCCGCTAACTCTCTGCTCATCTCTCTCCAGAGTGCCGTACTTGGCGGTGGCTCGCACCTTTGAGAAGATTGAAGAGGACTCTGGCAGGTAAGAGCTCCATATGGAGGAAACGGTGTTTCTCCCCCCTCTCGACGAGGAAAACACCATTTGGGAGAAAGTGATCGCTCTTCAAAGGAAGTAGAATATACCAAAGCATTTTTACAAAATTACCACTCGGGCTTCCTGCTGGGAATTTCTGAAAAAAATAATTAGTGTGTTCCTGCCAGAGAAATTGAGGAAACTGTGTTCATTTGAGGAGGGCAGGGGACATGAAATTAAATTTTTACAATTAGCCAATTTTCTAGGAATGCTAAAGAATGCATTTGGATAGAAAGGCATGTAATTCTTAGTGTTAGGAATCCATATCATGCACTTTAAAGGATGATCCGGAACTCACGTCTCCAGCCACCAAATAGAAAACACCTTTACAGACTTCCTTTTTTTTTTGTCTTTTGAGGATATTGAATGACAAACGCGCCGCTGATGACTTCTATTTCGCCCGCCCACTCCAACTGATGTATAGCGTTTCATAAATGAACTGTTCATCTGCCTCCCCGGCTTCCATTTCCGATTAAAACCTCCCAGACAAATCTCATTTCCCGCCTCCCAGTATTTACAGGATGGCTTTAAAATTCGTTTAGCTCGTCTTCCTCGTCTCAAAGCCATCCTGTTGTCATTTCCCAGGCTGAGAAACATCGAGACGCTGTCGAACCTGCTCCGCTCCGTGCTGCTGCTCTCTCCAGGTAAATGGTGTTTTATCTCTCCCATAATGCATGCTGATGTCGCAACACAGGCAGCTGGCTGCCAGCCACTCTATCAAGGAGATGATGATGAAGCCAGGCTGCACATGAAAGTGGGAGGATGAGTCACTTCATTGTGTGTGTGTGTGGGTGTGTGGGTGTGTGTGGCCATGTTTCTCTGTGTGTGTCTGTGTGGGGCCATGTTTCTCTGTGTGTGTGTGTGTGTGTGTGTGTGTGTGTGTGTGTGTGTGTGGCCGTTTCTCTGTCTGTGTGTGTGTGTGTGGCCATGTTTCTCTGTGTGTGTGTGTGTGTGTGTGTGTGTGTGTGTGTGTGGCCATGTTTCTCTGTGTGTGTGTGTGGCCATGTTTCTCTGTGTGTGTGTTTGGTTGT